GCTCAACCTTTGCAACTGGCTCAGGACAGAACGTCTATGGATATTTATAGATATTAAAACAAAAACAACCACCTCGCCCTGAATAGAGCCTTTCTTAAAAAGAAGGTCCTGGCAATTCTGTCTTATTTAAGCAATTTCCTGAGTCTAAGAATAGAAATGAGCTGCCTGGAAGGCACTGCAAGCTGAAATTTGGAGACATAGGCTGCTTTATTTTATTTTTCCAAGTATAAAAACCTTCCATTTGGATACCGGATTTTTATGTCAGTCTTTGAAGCAGAGGGATGTATGGTTACTTTTAATTTTACTTTTTTTCTCTCTCTCTTTTAATTAAACAAAAAACAAACAAAAAAACCTGTCTTCCAGTTAAAAAGCAAGGAAACCGTTTTACCTGCATGTGACAATCCCAGAGGACACCGATCAAGAAACAGGGGAGTGACTTGGTCTTCTGCACTACTTTACTCCTACCCCAATTTTTTGAGGAGGAGAGAAGAATTTTTTCAGTCCAAGAATCTCTTGCCCCCAAGTTTTAGAAGGGGGTTGAAGACTCGTCACCCATCTGGGGGTGCATGAAGGGCATTTGTTTTCTTTCTCTCTTAACTTGGTTTTGTGAAGGGTTGGAAGAGAATTTTGCCTTCCTGACTTGCCTGGAACAAGAGGATGATTTGGAAGTGGCTGGGCGCTTTGCTGCTTTTCCCCATCCAGATGGTTTATTTGGTGGTGAAAGCTGCCGTGTGCTTGGTGCTGCCGCCCAAGCTTCGGGACCTGTCCGGGGAGAACGTGCTCATCACCGGAGGGGGCAGAGGCATCGGCCGCCATCTGGCCAGGGAGTTTGCCAAACGAGGAGCCAGAAAGGTGAGCATCGGCATGAAGGGGAGCCAGGGGGAGGAAGCTCCCACCTGCTGCTCTACTGGGGAGTCCTCTGACTTGGAGACTTAAAAGCCTTTTCCCTCAACTCTAGGTGGGATTGATGGGCAAGGTGAGAGGGGAGAAGGGGCACTAATTTTGCAAAACCCTGGTGTGCTGAGCCATTACATTGACTTACATTTCAGAAGTTGACCCCTCCTCCTTCCCCGCATCCTGTCTCTTTCCATCTCATCTAAGAAAACATGAAGGTGAGAAAGGGGACCCATCGTCTCCTCTGCTCACAACAGAGAGGTTTTCACTCCAGCCTAGGTTTCCTGTGGCAGGGAGAGGAGAGCTATGTGATTCCCGTGCGTGAAGCTAGTGCTCACTTGCATTTCTGTTTACTAGCCTGCTTCCTGGCAGGCTGGTTGCTGGGACTGTGTACAGAGAGGGGGGCAGCTGACTGCCAGCTCCAGCCTTTCAGGCTGAGCACATCTTTAAGCTCTCCTTAGGCACAGCCAGACTGCCGCTGCTACGCCTGTCACCCTAGAGGGGGGCTTGGCTCAAAAAGGGGCAAATGGTGTGTGCAGGAGGGCTCTGGCTCTCCGTCCTAGTCATGCATTCTCTCAGGAAATTGGGGAGAAGAGTTCTCTTTCACCTCGATGGTTTTCCATTCGTGAAATTAATTTCTTGTACTTTCTGATGTCCCTTGTATTTTGCTTTTGGCCAGCCCAGAGCTGTTCAAAGGTAAGATGAGTTCAACATGAGTAGGAGCTGTGAGATTGTTTCCACGTTTCCTTTAGGAAAGAGGGAAAGGGAAGGAGGCTGAGAGACTGGTCTGTCTGCACAGCAGCCTGGAAATGCCAGTGTAGCTGGTGTGTCCATTCTCTAGCTCAGGAACTCGTGGTTTACCTTGAAACCTTGTGTTTTCATAAGTACAGGTATCTCTGTATGTGTGAATCAATCAGGAATACAAAAACCACACATACCATGAAAGGAGGCTTGAAATTTGAAGTTTCAGCTCCCTCTTTATGGGTAATGAAAGGGAGGAATCATGAAATCAGCTGCATAAATACTTCTCTGTGTGAGAGAGAATGAATGAGAGTAAATAATGAATAAAGAAGAACAAAAATACAGAATGAGAGGATATTTAGGGGGAAAATTTGCATTTAGTTTGGGAAAGTGTTTTGTCACTTCCTTACACATGCATTACAGTTTTCTATGTGTGGTATAGAGCTATTCTGGCATACAACTTTGAGGTGTAAAATATGTCAGCATTGAACTTTGATGTTTGTATATGCTTGTGTTTAAACATCATATTGAGATTTACAAATTCTTGTAGACAGAGCAAACAAGTTGACTGACCTTTGGACCCAAGCAATTTGCTGAAAGTGTATTTATATTATCTGTCAGAATACCATGCCTCATTATTTATTTATTGAGGCTGGCTGGTTGCTATGCTAAGCTCTGGTATTAAAGTACCACCATTTCTACAGTAATTCAAGAGCTGCTTAGCTGCCGTTGAGCTAGAAGCTGAACAATGGCAGTCAGCCCTAATGACCCAGGTGACATGGGCCAAAAGGAGAGGGAGCTATTTAAGATATAGAGCTGAGGATAAAATTACTGTAAACAGATACAGACTGTAGTTCATTTGTATGTCTTATCTGTAAAATCTCTACGTATCTTAGGAGGAAAGAACAAATAATTGTTGGGAACCTTTGTACTTGTCTCATATGATGTTGTGAAATGCTGTGTGATTGCTAGTTACTGTTTAGAACTTCGGGGGGGTTTGCCTCACAGGTTTTTTGCATGTCTGTCATCAAGGTGTGTCAGGTTTTGCTTTTACTGAACTTGAATTAGATTCTCCTTTCAGTTATATCATGGCTGTCCAGTAAGTCACATATGGCACTCAGCAAGTTTTGATCCTCTCTGGTAGCGGCACTGCCTTTCTGCCTTTGGTAGTGGCACGTTTTCCCTGCAACACTGAAGTAGGCTTATTCTTTTCTTCCTTAACATTTTTAAGGACAATTTTACCTAGATGTGGTAGTTTCTATTCCGTTTGCTCTGAGATTTCATTTCTTTCCTGCCTTTTGTGCTCAACCCTAACTTTGTGAATTTAATGCAGTCTCCATGTGTACCGCAAGACTTCTGTTTGGCACTGCTCTTTGATTTTATGCTTTGCCTTAGACAATCAAAAAGAAACAAAAAAGATTTGAAGTGGCTAGCAAGTCGTCTTTCAATAATGCTTGTGAAAATTAACTCTTCTATTTTTCTGTTGTCTTCTTAGGCAGTTGACTGTTTTACAATTATGCAAAACTTGAATTATTGATCATAATTAATAATTTATAACAGATTCTCAGTATCAGATGGTGTAGTCACAATATTCCAAGTTTAGAAAAATACTTCCACCAAAGGCGTGAAATTCTGAGGCCAAGCACAGTATTACATAGAAGTGAACGGAAACAGTAACATGTAGATTCAGATTCTAGCAGTGGGTGTGCAGTGTATCTTGAAAAAGTCATCACAGCGCTTGCGCACACAGACCTAGTGGCGGAGTTTTGGAGGTAGGCGGCGATATATAACCATATTTTTGAGATTAGAATCTTCTGAAAGACAGGTTAGTTGAGACTGTTAGCATATGAAATTTCCTCTGATAATTAGACTGGATTGGATTTCATCTTACGCTCTTATCTTTACTTTCAGAGGCTGGTTTTGTTAATCACAAATGAGATGTATTTGAGCGGTTTTCACGTAAGATGACAAGTGTTGTGTCTCACTAAGATCAGTAATTTTCACATCTGCAACTTTTTTACTGTAAAATTTGATCTTGCATTTAAAGCTATGAAGATGACAAGAAATAAATTGGGAAACGGTTTATGCAAATGGAAATACAGTGTCTTCTGCTTGATAGATCAGCATGGAGAAGGAAATTCTCAGTCTAACAGAATGGAAGTCTCTTGGGCATCATCATGTAAATCCATCCTGATTCCCGTTCTCTACTCCCATTCTTTTAAGTCCATTGCTCTGCTATCGTGCCTCAAATATGACTTGGACAGATAAAAGTCTAGGAGATATTTCCTTCTAAGTTGATGTTTCTTTTCTCATGGTTGTTCATTGGCCTCTGATGAAATGGCCAATAAGGAGACAAAGTGGTGTCAGTTGTATTTTCAGTTTCAGAAGTGTGTATCTTCTGGTTTTTTTTCAATTAAGACTACCAGTGATTTTTAAGCAATGAGAGAGGCTTCAATCATTAGATCATCACTGTTCAGGTGTATACTAAGAGGTCAAAGGATCTATATTCCATTTTTACTTTTGGGTAGAAGTTTTCAAAAACTATGTGGTCATGGGAAACAGTGTGTATTTAAATGCTTGCTGTAACACTTCTAGAAAAAAACAAAAGCATGTAAATTTGCTGTATGCAGAGAAAGAGTTGTTTACAGATGAGACGGGACATGTTAGTGTTACTATGAGGGATGAATAGCATTGAATTTTCTCCGGAAGTACTCAAGTATTGTAATTCAACTTTCATGCTGTTCCCCAGAGATGTGTCCAGATTCAGAAGTGCTGGCTGAGGAGCTACTTTGCTGCAGTTGAATTGCTGGAGAAGTGTACTTTTTTGCTTTCGGTTCCTTCTTGATGGCTTGCAAAATAAAAAATTTTCACTATTGTTGCCTCTAACTCTTGAGAATTTTGACTACATCTTAGAAGTATTTGACCAATAGAGCATCACCTCTGCCTCAGTCTCACACATCGGTAACTTTGTTAAGGTTCTTAGCTTTTGATATTCTGTGGTCAGCCAAAATGGCAGAGTATATCTGTGTTAATGAAACAGGAGAAGGAGAGATTTTTATGAGTTTATGATTTAATGCCTATGAAATAAAAATCTACTTCCAAAGCCTAATGGTGTTTTGCAAAGAATATACTGTACAGTCAAGTTAATATTGGGAAGACGGGCCCCTTTGAACAATATTTCTTGTGTGGAAGAACAGCCCTCTGCAGATGTTAGCAGTCAGGGGGATGTAGGGGCTGAATGGGTTCATTCGCTGGTGGTTAGAATTGGAAAATGCTTCTGGTTTCCTCTAAGACATTTGCTTTTCCTACAGCATTTTCTATTAGAGTGCCTTTGCCACAGAGTTGTCAGCCTTGGTTTTAATGATCTCCACTGACGAAGTTTAGATTCGTATGTCTTTTGTGTCTCATTTGTATGTCTTGCTCTTTGTTAGGTTTTCTTTTAGGGCATTTCCTTGATGTCTGAAAATTTCCCTTGTAATTTTAATTTACTTTGTTCACAGTTATTTAATCTGAGGGCTGATGGAACAGGAAAGAGATGCTTGGTTCTTAGGCATTCTGGATTATTAAATGTCACCAAAACCTAATCAAAGAAACTGAAAAAGATATAATTGTAGGATAGAAACGGATTCCTCAACTCTAGTATGTATTTTAGTATTCACAGTTATCTGACAGTGACTTTGGGAGAGTTTCTTAGGCCTTTCTTTATTGGGAGACTGGTCAGAAGCCATTGATTTTCATTAGGCTTTTTATTTACACAGAGGTCTCTGGGCTCAGAAATCAGCAGTATGGATCTTCAGTGGCATATCTACAAGGGATCTTATGCAGCAGTGCTTTTCTGTTGTTCCTTTGTGATCATTTCCGTCATCTCAGTTTCTTTCAAAGTATGTATGTTTTGTCCTCCCCCTTTTTTTTTTTTCCTCTCCAGCTGTGATATGTTTGCCTTTTCGGTAACTGTAGCTATTGATGAATGAACAAGAGGGCTTCTAGGGAACCAAGGGTGTTTTGGCATGAGAGGTGTCTCCAAAATACCAAGTGGGTTCGGGGCAGCCCTGACCTTGTGTCAGTGTGACAGTACTGCAGAGAAGAGCTGAACAATTCCTATTAACCTTGCTGAGAGTTCTTCACATTCATCATTGTGCAAGAAATGACCTCGTAAATACAGTGAAAGATCTCTCCTTTCACTATTTTGTCCTCTGGACATTCACTTCCTCTGTTGC